AAGAGGTAGAATTGCATGAATAACGAATTCCGTGAAGAGCAAGTAGACATTTGAATAAGTACAACTCCATCGAAGTATTAAAAAATGTTCCCCAATTATCTGTCATTTGTTGATACTCCAATCGTTCTTCAAGTTCTTATATGGCCTTCGCTAAATTTGTGAATTGCAATACCACTGCGTTCACAAATGTCAGAGTTATAATCACTGTGCAATCGTTCGCTGAGTCGAATTGCGGTGAAAGGTAAAACTAACAACGCTTTGAATTGTTGCACAAATTAGACGTCAAAGGCAGGTTCCAGCAGATTGCACCAGCAATCCGCTGCTCTCCATTCGACGCACCATGAGCACGAATATTCAAATCAAATTCGCCAGCGAAAGCTTTTCCTAGTGTCAGCGTGTCATGCATAGAATTCTCACGAAAGCAGCGACGTCAACATAGGGAAATCACTGAAATTTAAAATGAAGCAGGTCACGATAAGATGGACTGACAATCGACAATGGGACAAGGTGCAAAGGCTTATGAACTGTTGGTCACCCCATGCATTCGCTGGCATTAAGAAAATGAATACCCATAGAAATACAATGCACTGAAAAAATAAGGTATGGAATTCAAACAATTTACCGCGTCTCGACTTTCGAAAAAAGCAGCTTCAATATGCTGCTCGGTATAGCGATCAAATATAACATATCGTGCAAAGTTGCAGAAAAGTCCGAACTATTAAAATAAGCGCAAAATGCTGCTAACAAATTTGTAACATTTTGCACACAAAGTGCAAACTGTTGCAAAACCCTGTGCGATTCGCCAGCCGCTCTGAGCCAGTCATCTGACCTCAAGTATGTTCTAATCGACCGGGTGCTAAATGTGATACGGAAGTCCAGTGAAGTGAGCGCGCTGCTCATTGACTAGGTGACACTTTTAAATAAACCTCGGGTCCATGGACATAAGCGGTGCAACGAGCTACTATGCGTCCCCTTTACGTCTGAAACGCTAGATCACAATTCGACTAAGAGCAATGAACGGCCGGAATACAACCGTACGACTAAATGGATGTCTTTCATTCCAGCGTGGTCAATATGACTTCTCGTGTTCGACAGAGTATCTCATCAGACATTCGTAACCGATTTCTGGATGCTTCGTCAATGATGACGACTGGCAGCTCGCGGCAACAATGCACAATGTGAAATAGCAAACTGCCTACTCCTGGATTCGTCGCTGTCTTGAGCAGGAGCCAGATACTAAGCAGGCCCGCGGTCCTAAGTGTATTCTGTCAGAGGGAGAGATTGATGACATCCTGGAGTGGATCGCGAAGGACGCAACTCTAACACTACACAAAGTGCGAGTCCGAGTAGGTGACGATATGGACAATAACACTGCAATGTCTAAAATAGCACGACACCTGGATGACCGTTTGGTAACTATGAAAAGCATCTATCAGACTCCAGAAGGAATGAACAATGATCGAAACAAAGCGATACGAAAGGAGTTTGTTCAAAAGTCTCTCAAAGTTGCAAGTGCAGGGAAGTTTTCCATATAGATCGAAACAAACTTCAACATTTATTGTAAACCTACTCGTGTCCTTGCGCCCAGACGAGCGGGGGCCTGTGTCAAAGTAGCCAACAGTGGAGGTCTGAATTTACATCTCATCGGTGCACTCATAATGGATGGGGACGTTTCGATGACTACCCGAAGAGGCTCATTCATTGGCTCCCTATCACTCGAATGGCTGCGAGGAATTCTAGATGAGGTGAAGCGGGAAGTGGAGCTCTGGCAGGTAGTCGTAGTATCTGACAATGAAACATGTCACTCACGTGTTGAAGCACATGCGTCAGTCGAAGAACACGAAGGGGTTACCATTCTGAGGTTAAGCCCATACTCCCCATTCGTCAATCCCATCCAAAATATTTGGCACGTGGTGAAAGCCCGAGTGAAGAATGAAATGCGAATGTAGTACGATGTACTTCTGGCCGGGGGTTCCCATAAGCTCATGACGCAAATGGTATGGAGGTTGCAGTTTCTGGACAGCATTGCCAGAACAGCAACCAGCGAGACCAGTGTTGTGCGATGTCGTAATGCGATTCCACACATCCGTGTACATATTCCTGATATTTTGAAAGAATTATGTGTTTTGATTATATTTCCGGCTCATCACTTTAGACACATGCTTGTATGGCGCATGGCACTAGGAGCGAGTATGGACAAGAGGAAATTCAAAGTCTCGGCAAAATATGTATGCACCTACGTATGATTATGCATTATTACGGGGGTTGCAGCCATATCTGATATCCAGCGTTAGGCAATAACATGGGACTGGCTTCCAATGAGACATGTGCGAGTGATATTTCTAGCGTATCCTCTACTTCGTACTGGTGTGCATCGCGCCTTACTTGTTCACGAAAAACATTAGACAATGCAGATAGGGTTTCAGAATTCCAAAAACTAGCATGCCTGCTAAGTGACTTACCGAAATATTGAGAGTTATAGAAAGGCTTCAAAAATCCTGCGATAGAATTGTGGTGGCGCTTCGACAGGTGTATTAGTCTATATGAGGCATGACTTTTCAAATCTCCTTTAGCAAAACCTTACATTCCATATTTGCCCGGCTTAGTTGTAACGAATATCTATTTTGTCAAGGTAGGGTTTGGAAGATATCTTTCAATCTACAAGCGCGTTGCCAATAACCCTTTAGTCACTAGATGGGATAACACTAAGCAAACTCCTTGCTCAGGCCGGTTACACCTGTCGAAGCGCCACCACAATTCTATCGCAGTAGGCGGGTTATGAGACAGCGCTGTTTCCATTTTTCACACGAGACTCCGTTGCAACCAGCCTTATGTGTCGTTCGGTGAACTTGAATTATGGCGTGCCGTAGGTTGACTCCAAATCAGCGATTTGCGGATGATACAGAGATTTCACGATGGACGACATTATCAACTGCACATATACTCACGCATGAATACGGACTTGCTAAAGTGTATCTGGATTTGTCGCCTGGATGTCATGGACGCACAGAAAATTACCGTGCAATACGCGTCCTAAAAAATCCCCGAAGAATTCTACCGGCAGTCTGCAGATCCAATCGAATCGCACAGAACGCACTACGCACACGATTGCGACGTCTGCGTACCTTACGTTGCACAGCGCTTCACGCTATGAGGCGAAGACTAGGGATACTTGAACGATCGATACATACTAGTCAGGGTTTGAGCACAAAACTTTTCGCGGAAAACTGGATGCCTGTGGGCTCTGTACTGACTAGGGTTTAACCGTAGCACTAATGTTACCGTTACGTGCAAGGTCTACATTGATAAAGATATGGACCTCGCTTTGGCGGACGAACATACACGTGGTGCACAACTGCTGCTATTTAATCGCAGCTATGTTCCCATTAAAGCAAACAGACTGACATACAGGTGAGAAATAAGTCTTCAATGTGCCCGTTTTTTGTACCATAGGTAATATTAAAACACAGTTACGGTGAGCACGCCGGTAGACTGAAAACTAGCGTCCAGAGAAGCACTGTAGGAAACAAGCATCACTTCCAACTACACCTTTCACATTAGGAATAATAACGATTTGGGAGTATTTTCTTTTCCTATTAAGCGAGGCAAGTGCTATTTGCAATTTCTCTTCCCTAATTAACCTACCATACTTAAAGTTTACCCTATTGGTTTAGTTCCGTTTAGTGCAGTCGATAATTCATGATACGTGTACCAAAATGCCGTGGATGCAGTTGCCAGGAATCATATCGCCTGAGTGTGAAAATGAAGAATGTTAAGTAAATGCGGTTAGACTCAACTATGATATTAGCAGAATGGAAACAAGAAAGAGGAACTTGAAGCTAATCCCATTGAATTATGAACAGCTACACACAAGGGAACGAATCCAGTGACAGCACTGACTCCGAAAATGCACCACTTCCGATAGAGTCTCTAACCATTGGATTAGACAAGCACGAGGCCCCCCGTCTTCGGAGACGGCCCGTATGCAATTGACCAAATCTCTCAGTCAACTACTTTTTACCCCTATTTTACGTCATCGATAGATCGGCTCGTCGCTTCGCCCAACTTTGTGCAGTGACGGCGGATTAGGCCGTCATTTGTATTGCGACCGTGTTGTCACAAACGTGTGCTTGAGTCCGAGAATATTTTGTTTTTTTGTTGTGTCCATTAGAACGAATGTTTTTCTGAAAGCCTGGAGTTCCTTCATAGGTCACTTATTGCTGCGGGACCAATTTAACCACTGTGAACCTCCACTTCTCTTGCTTGTGTTGTTTTAATCACTGTTTATTATCACCTGAATATCTGATTCACAATGACTGAAAACGCGGAAACCCCACGGTGCATAATAATAATGCAATGTGTGTGTACTCATAACAATTTGGCCATTTCATAACTTGCCTGCCAAATTTTAGATGGCCAACCAGCATGACAGCGCACTATTGATTTTACTCCAAGCATTTGCTCCGAAATGTTTTTTGCAAAGTTTTGCATGTGTATATTCATTGTTGTCATCAGTTATCGTTTAGTAATACAAGTTTATTTGACGGGTCCTACGTTTGGTCTCTTAGGTGAGCTACGAAATCAGTGCAAATCCACCCTGATGTGCGGTGATCCAGCAGCATGCAATGGAACAATGGTGGTAAAAACGCAAATACTTAACAAGTCCCGTATGATGACCCGAATAAAAAACACGAAATCATGAAAAGTAATCACGGTGATAAAAGGAAAAGCCTTTTGGTGTACTCAACAAAGTTTTCACAGAGAAGCATGCACAGAAGAGCCAACTTCGATGGCGTAGGTGAACGTTGGTTGTGCAGCGTTCGTCACATTATATCGTCCGTCGATATACACAAGCTAAATCCCGTAAGAGAGGTCGGTTAGTGCATCGTCAAGGCGTATTATACTGCTCGCAATTGTAAAAGGAGGTTTATCTTTACGCTCGCAGTCTCTCTTTTGAAACGCGGGGTGATTTATCGCAGCTTTCGCTTGTCCATTTGCAGGGGTACATTACCAACATCGCAGCGCTTCTCTTCCGGATGAGTTGGTTGGCGCATACAATCTTAATGCTGAAGAAACTTTGTAAGTTTATCGTAAAGATAACTTCATTCCCTTCGTATAGTTGGTGTATGGATTTTGTGTCACACCGATATGGGGGTCAACTGCTTTTGTTGCATTTGTTTTTTGTTTATCTACGTACACTCTGTATTCTGTCAAGTCTCACTTTCTTGGGCCATCCCCATGCTAATGTCCGAATACAGGTGTCATTTAGTACTTGATGGTTTCTCCAAATCCAGTTTGATCTCCAAGCTTCTTTTCCCAGCTCTCTCTAGTCAAAATCATCGCGCGCGTCTTTTCTTAGTTAACCGGTAATTTCTGAAACAGGTCTATCACTTGTTAAGCAATGTATCATAAGAGTATACAACCACTAATTCTAAACCGCAGATCATGCGTTTCCCCATCAAGATTTGTTTAATGCTTAATTCCATGAAGGTATTGTATTTTGTACAGACCCTACTAAATGCTATCAGGTGAATCTTGGGGTCACATTTTACAGTTGAGTGGAAGCTGATCATAGACTCTAATCAGTTTCAAGATTGATCAATAAGTGGCCATTACTGCCCTCGGTTTGACCTAATTAGAGGACAGGTAACACGTCTTACTATTCCTCAGCATCATCTGCGGCTGGTGGCAAAGAACGAAATGAGACAACTTCGCTTTGAGAACTTGTACGCTTAGCAAAGTATTTGACCACTTCACAATTGGGGTCTCACTAGTTCAGCGAACTAAATTTGCAATGTCTTTTAATCCAGCAATGTACGTTATTTTGTAAGACAGAGTATATGACTGGATTGCATATCGCAGCTGTACTAATTAGGAGTCGTCGTTTCTGCCGATATTTTACTTAAAATTTCATCCTGCATACAGATAACAAAAGCCGGCATTAAATGCTAATTTGGGTCGAGTATACGAAATTGTTTCTTTTGCCTTCCGCTTTTTCATGTACGCTCCGATATGTGGCGATAGGTAGGACATCTGCAGGGATGCTGTGTACGGAACAATGATGTAAAGTGTGCAAACATCAGTAGCATCTAAGGCAGCTGGGACAACATGCGCCATCTGATTTTCCGAGTATAAGGTATACCTTCAAGTAACCATATCTATCAACTGTACGTTCTAAAATAATCTCTGAAATGTCGCAGTAACTGCTAGCACCTTTCGCAAAGAGCACGGTGCCTCAGGCCTAGTAGAATATGGCTTGACGTATTTGCTTACATTTTAATAACATGCAATTGTTGTTCCATTTGTACAACTGAACGAAGAATTGGCTACTTGTTTCATCTGGATAAACAGCGAATGCTGCTCTCGTTCAGTTGATCCTACTGATTTATTTGATTTCACAGGAAGACAGTGAACAACATAAGAATTGTGAGGGTCATTGGAAGCGTCATCGAACAGTATGAGGATAACCATGATGATTCAGTGGATCCCGCGCCCAACATTTCCCAGAAAGGTCAGTATTGCTTATATTTCTTTCCACCCCATTTATCATAGTTTACTTCTCTGAGCTCTCTTGCTCTCACATGGCATTCGCTTACCGTTTGTTGCCAGAACTTTTATCAATAAATCACAGCGAGAAGGAATATGTAAGTTGGAAGCACGCACCTCAAAACTAGATTAATGAGTACTGTATGAGGATGACTGCGACCGTATTTCCATTTGTGCAGCCTTAAGTCTCTGGAAATGCAACGTCACGTCTAGCCTACTACTAGGCTTAAACGTCAGACCAATGGAAAAACGATATGATGTGGATACAATAAGCCTAGGCTTGAAAAGTCCCGTAATATGAATTGTGTGAATTACTAAATTGAATCGCGCTTCTGTGGTTCCACCATAATATCCACATTAACACACACGTATAGCCGTCTACACCAAATTTCGTGGGGTTGGTGAGCACCATGCTTGTCTGCGTCTTGTCGTCATTTAGTGATCAGAATCCAAAGCAACTAACGCAGATGGTGTAATGCTTTGCCGAGTCTATTTTAAAAATAGATAGCGTGGGAGCAGAAATAACAGAAGTCGAAAAGCTTACCACGACTGAGAAATTTGTAGGAAATAATAAGCCGACAGCAATACAGCTGACTGTATTGGGTGGCCTGTTCCAGCCAGTGATCCATCAGTGTAGTGTTACGGCGAATTTTCAGGAGGTAGCGGAAAGCACGACCGGGGATTTGCAAGTTCGGGTATATCAGAATGAGGTAGCGCCGTGAACGACCATTACTTCAGCTGCACACTCCTAAGGCATTCAGACACATGGCACAAAAATGGAGCAGTCCATTCAAATTTTTGTTGTCCTTCGCTGTGCGGCACTATTGCAACCAGATCACCTTTTAGTGAGGGCTGACAGGCCGGGATCATTTAATCTACATGGAACCTTGCATACGCATTGAGCACTTGCGGAATGGTTAAAAGGTCTCACCTCCCGAACGACCTCCGTAAATGTCCAACATATTCGTTCACGGTTTTGGACACCATCAAGGACTGCGTCTAATAATCGAGGGTTTTTTCATCACCACACTAAGGTCGCTTTCCTGAGAGGCGATCACCAATGTGGAATGTGTGTATTCTTTCCTTCAACACTTCTAAAGCATGTTGTGATTTTCGTTGCATCACATCGTAATCGTCCTGAATACGATCGTCCGCTCTATATCTTGGTGTCATCCGCAAAACTATAGCAATTCGACTTGATGACACATGCGAGGTCAGTAATGAAGAGCGAAATAAGCGCGGCCCTAAATAGATCCTTGTGGAATACCGCAGTCCACATCTAAAAGACCAGAAAATGAGACCCGAACTCAAACCTAAAGCCTTCGATGAAGGAGGATAGTTCGGCTCCATTTAAGGACAGATTCCCAATTCCGAATGTCTGAAGCTTTTGAAGGAGGATGTGGTGAGCTAAACATTCGAAGGCTTGATAAAACTCGAGATATATGACATCGATTCTGGTCTTACTATCGACTAACGTGCGCAATCAGTAGTTGTGTAGTACATAACCGACTCCTACGAAACCTGGGTTGCTGCGGTGGTGTGATGTTGGAAGTTTCAAGTTAGTCATTTAGTGCCTCATCATTCATCAACTTTTGGAGAACTAAGAGGATAATTACTGGGCACTAGTTGTTCGTTTCAAGGGTTACCACCTTAGAAAATCGTGGTCAGGATACCCTTACTCTACAAGTTAAGAACCAGTCATTCATCCAGGCATCGTTGAAAGAAGCGAGTCACTGCTCCGGCTATCCTCCTAGCTGCTACCTGCAGTGCTTTCGAAGGAACGTTGTCAACACCGGAGAACCATGGGTGCACAGCGATATTAACTTCCATGAAGTGTTTGCTGAACTAAAATTGACATGGGTGAGTTCTGGCGTCAAGATAAGTGCGACATGTACGTAACAAATGCTCTTAGCACGTCGGAATTCTAGAACATATCATAGCCATAGAGCACTGCCTACATCTTCAGCAGTTTGAACACATCCATTTGCTGAGGTGAGTAAAGAAACACCACGCCGTACCTTCCAGAGACTGTTCAAATGTTTTTACAAATGCTTGGTGTTGGCAGAAAAGCAATTCCCTGGGCTCTATTCGTTTACTCATTTATCATTATGGATAAGTGTAGAACATTGATTGCGCTGCTCCGGTAGCCAGGATTAGGTTTCGCACCATACACATGCCACGCTACGTCTGTTAATCGGTCGTTACAGTCCATTGCGTGGCTTGTTTGTCGTTCGACGCTTCTCGAAGATCGAAGGTTGCAATCTTTTTGCCAATATTGGTATCTCGCTCAATGTGCAGCACCTGAAAATCTGAATTGAATCGTCGGCCGCACCATAGACGTCAATCCAATATGACAGCGCCAGTAAGGCTGAAACTTCGACAGTTTTAACCAAAGAACCAGGGTGGCTAACCAAGGACTTCTGTGAATACTTCTTCTTACCTGACTTCGTTCTACTAGGGACGACAGTAATACTAAAGCTAGTCGGAACAGTACAGCCGCGTTCCCGATTCAAGGCATATTTTAATATCTTGTATCTATGGATCCTGTTAATCTGAGTTAGTTTAACCATATATGACTGGCTGAAATGTTCCAGTTAGTTGGAAATGTTGCTTTCGCAACACTGTCTGTCATTTATTTTGGTACTCAACTCTTTTGTACATGCGTATGCAAATTACACTTCGTTTCCTACACCCGCTTACCATTGAATATGAACTGGCCCACGGTGCCATCTGTAACTCGCAAAGTCGGCATGCGGCTTAGGTTGAAGTGAAAAGAATGTCTTTTCTTCATCTGATCAAGCGAAATGTCTGTCATAAATGATTAAACATCTGTATTCAATCCCGTATGAACGGTAGGCGGTGACACAACCGTGGCCACGGTGTGGAGTGCATATGCAAGGTTGTGAGGAGAATAATGGATTTCGGCAAGAGGAAAAGGGGATGGAAAAACCAACAGGCTTATCATTGAGATGTCGATTTCTACGATGCAGTCTCGACCGTGTGGAGAACGTTAATGTCGTAGCTATCAAAATACTACTTACGGCACGCTGAATATCGACGATTCCCTTACAGATTAAAACATTCTCACTGCTAGTAATTGCATGCTGAAAGATCTAGTTAATATCACATGACTTTATGGGTAGCATATGAGGAAATCAGATTATCCGGTGGAACGCGTTTTATGTTGCTGCTGAAGCTATTTTTGTTGAACACGACTGTTCGTCCATATAACCGCGTCATCCTTCAACACCTTACTAGCTTACGCTCAACGCTGGATAGTATGTTATCCTACATGTGACGCGAGCAGAGACTTTTTAAATCAAACACTTCCAATTATATGCCAACTTCGGCTACTAGCGAGATGAATCTACGCTACTGTTTCTCTGCGGTTGAATTGTAAAAAAAACGCAATTTACCAAGATACTACAGCGCTTCTTTGAGAATATTCGTCGTAGTTAGACTCAACCAGACAACCACCGCATATCCGGGAAAAAACCTTTCTCGACGGATGGTGGTCATCTGCCTGATTCATGCTACGACGAATATTTTCGGTAACACCATAATTTCACCTGTTAATCATTAATACCAAAACGCTTATTTTAACCCATAGCGCTTCGATCACTTTGTGCCCGTTTTAGAGCTAATCTCCTATCAGCAATTGCTTTTTAATATCAGGCAGGGCACTTTTGGTATAAAGACATGAGATGCACATGTCATAATGCGTCATTTGCAGTAGATTAAAGACACCTCGCTGGATAAACAAAGAATCCCGCTGTGGTGCCGGCTGGGTGGTTCGGGGTTACCCAATTCCAGCGTCAGCATTCCAGGAAATGGTAGTTACTTGCTTGTTAATCGTTCTCCCTACAAAAAGCTAGAAACATCCCTGTAAACACACTCTGATGTGGTGCATGTAATTTGTTACTAACTTTAGTCACTAAAGCTTGCCTATCCGGATGAGCATATTCACTTCGCAGATGTCAATAATCCACATCAAGGACTTTCTCTGATTCTATCTCACTTTGTCAAAGCAATGTGCACACTTACAAATCCAAATATACTTGGTGACATCCGGTCTTTGTCTTTCACTGTGGCCAGCCACAGGACGCCTGCGCCTACAGAGGGACCATGGATGGCATGCGCTGCACCACCCACAGCTCCATCCACACACCCAATATTCAGTGTAAACCCAAAGGAATAAGATCGGGAGGCATGATGATGGGAGTCACGCTATATCAACAGAGGCAACCCACACTCCTTCACAGGCAAACACAATCAAGCTGTATTTGGGAATCAAGCTCACACAAGGCGGTAGCTGGACCGTAGTCCGCTCCACACTGAGTGCATGTAACCACACTTGGAGCCTAGCAGCACCACAAGGACGGTGCCCCCGACCCTTCCAGCAACTATCAACTGTCTCCTGGAGCCAGTATGGACGAGTTAATGGGCAATAGACAGGTAGGCACCTTGTCAAGATGCACATAAAGCTCAGCCACACCACGGATGCCAAACAATAGCCAAACACATGATATGATAATAACAAATAAGTATATTGACTAAACCATACGGAAATGCAGACATAAATCTACGCTAATTGAGTATATGTAATAAATTGTTTATCTACAAGTCCGCGATAAGTGCAAGATGTCAGCAAACATGTTTTAAAAATGCTACAAGCACTAAAATTTTGGCGCAGTACACCACAATGAGGTTAACCGTAACGTGCAAGTTATTAGATAATTCAGATATAAGTTAAAATGAGACAAAATATACGAGTAAAACAAGAGCACAAACCCACCACCCGAAATGAAGAAACTCAGCACGCTAGCACATGGTTAGTAAATCGAATGCAGTGTACCTACAAATGCTGCACTTGTTCGGTCTAAGTTCTCAGCAGAACTCGTCGTCCTTTCGATGCTGGACCTGAGTGTTCTCGCTCGTGACTCACTAAACCTGCCTGACTCGCATTCGCGACCGCCTGTGTTGTAGCACCATGCGTTCGACACCGATAGAGTACAAATCCAAATCACACAGCTACATTAGTGCGTACCTGGTTGGTGGCATCCGGTTCCAGATTTGCTTAGCACTGCGGCCCCCATAGGACAACCACAGGGTGCTGCGCCTACAGAGC